CCAGCTCAACGTTTCTACACTTTTTCACTCAAGCTGGATCCGTTGCACTTTGATATGTCAACATATAGAAAACCAACGAAGACGCATCTCAGTTTGCCAACTGTCAGCAGCATCGTCGTTTGCCATCACATCGCCTATGTTGTTCGCTCGCCGCCAAGCCAGTCCCTATTTCCAGCAACATCATTTCGCCGACGACTATATTTATTCACCATCACCATAAGGTCCTGGTCGTGATCGGTCCTCATGCCCAAGTTCGTCGAACACCATTCATCAACGTAATTCCTGTTATCGGTGAAATCGTCCGTCCGGTATATCGCACTATTCCTACTGTGCCTGCATATCATCGTTCTACCCAGGAAGCCGCAGCTACTACGTTGTTAGGATGTCCACCTTGATCATCTATGATGATCGCCATTGACACCGAAGTGAATGCCGCTTTCAAAGCGACTATCAACGCTCTTGAGCAACGTTAGTGCTGCTCTGTCACAGCACTCGCTTACGCCATTGGCTCACCACTATGTGCGAAGAAGCAAGAGAGATCACCGGAGTAATTTGACGGGAAAACTAATGCAGTTGAACGGTTGAGGAAACCATAGGAAACGCGCAGCCACAGAGACTTGACAAAGCAGTAGCGAGAATCAAAGAATACGGAGAAGATTAATACATTACAAATGTAGATAAAATCGGAGTAATCCTTTACAAATTGAGAATTACCTCTATAGCATTAACCGTTTTAAAAGAGCCGATCGCGTGTAATGTTTCCGTCCGACGAATGAAAAACTTACTTCACTAAGGGCGATAATCAGTGCGGACGCGTAGAGCCTAGTTTCCAACCAGTGGTCGTGAACTTGCGGGTGGATTGGAACGAAATTCCAACGATTCTAGATGGAGGGCTATGCTCCGGTGAAAAAAGGGATGATTTGGAGAAATTCTACAAGCTATTGAAAACGTTTTAAGTTGTGATAACGCATAACTACGAGCAGGTCATTCTTTCGTAATTACTATTCTATCGAGGACGAAGTTATACGAGGAGCAGTCACACATCAGCAGACCATATCACGAGAATAGGAGTGAGAATTCTTGACCTGCCTGGCATGAATTCAAAACGCTGACGAAGCATTTCGAGCAGCGTGGCTATATTTTTGTGAAATACATGATTTCAAACATATGTTAGAGGGACATGAATTCCCCTTTTTTGGTAGAGCATTAGCTCCTCGGTGAATTCTTGCGACCTCGCTTTCGCCGATGATAGCGTTTACAGACGCATTGATTGTGCTGCACAAATCCTTCTATTTTATGAAGCGCTAACTTTGTGTGTCGGTTTGTATGTCTGTAAATGTGTGTGTATGTTTGTATACTCGAGATCCGTAAGTTGGGGTAGGCGTGTCACCGGAAGTGACGTGTACTTGATAGAATCTATGTGGATAAGGTGCTTCCAATATATATCGCGAGATATCAGCAAAGCATGCTGGCAGCGACTTACCTACGCAACCTCTATCAAGTCCACGTCACTTCCGGTGACACGCCTACCCCAACTTACGGATCTCGACTGTATGTGTGTCCGTCCGCAAAATGAAGTGAGTGAGAAGGAAGCTCATGGGATAAACAAACCGCTAACAAATCGGGTAGCTTACAGGATTTGAGATATCAATGTTTTGTAGCAGGATAGTTGTGATAACACTCTTAGGGGCTATATAAACACCTGCTTAGCACACTTTCCTCTTCATTCCACATGGTGCTGCAGTGGCAGCTGGAGGAGTTTGTGCCTCTGTATGTGTGTGTATGTATGGACCACTATGCTATACGAAGTTATACAGCTACAGGCAGTGGAGAGAGGAAGGGAGGATGAGGAAGGGAAGCGAAAAATCTACCGTCATATCATGATTGTGTCCCTTCTACTGTATGAAACACCATTGTGTTGCATACGCGTCACTTCCAGGAGGTGTTGGTGTCACAGGAGGAAGGGACCATAGCGGAGGATAGGAAGGTCCCGGCGGTTGACGGGGGACTAATCTGGTCTAGATGTTTAATCAGCATGAAATCACTGTCATTCAGAATCAAGGTCTGAAGCACTTCAGAAGCTTCTGGTTATCAGAAAGCATGAATTGCTCGGGAAATTAACTTTCGCTCTAACTATTACCGCTTTTGTTGAATGAGTATTGCTTGAAGTTGTTTGCTTATTTGGTGGGGTTTTGATTTTTCATTTCGCTTGTGAGGTTTAGCACAACAAACTAGCGACCCTATTTCATATGTGGTTCCTTTTTGCGTACTTGAGATTAATTTTTATTACGATTGCTTGTGAAGAATTGTTACTAATATTTGCGTGAAAGGTCCTGAGAGGATGGACACAAGTACGTTCACATTCGAGCTTCGAATCTCACAGTAATGGGCAATCGTGGGATGCAGTGGAAGAGCTACATTCTAACAATTTCCGGCGCTCCCTGTTTGTAAATCATCGCCGTAGAGTTGGAAAATCGTACCGATGCTGTTATCAAGAAATTGCAGAAAAAACAGGAATTCAACCATAATTGATTACTCCTACTTTTGATATTTGTGAAAAACTAAATGTACCACTATTATATTCCGCAAAACCGGTCAACTACCTGCAAGCAATCAACATCTCCGCAAAAATAAGGAGCATAACGCGACGAGCACTGTTTGCCTTCGCAATGGTCGCACATCTGCTCATCCATGACGTATGGTTTGATTTCAACCTGAAAATCATTCTTCATCTTGCTAGCAGGAGCTTTTAAATCTTCCATCCGTCGCATGCAGTATTTTTGACTAGTGTCCTGAAGAGTTGGAGGAATCACTTCCGTGTGTCACTTCCCCTTTTTTTGAGGCTGAGATTTCGTGCCAGATTTTCCCATGTCCCTATAAGTTCACGACGATAGTTCTGCCCTTTTAGCAGTGTTCCTAGTGTGCTGGGAGTGACAAAAAACTAAAATAAAAGCAAAAAACGCAAACGAAGTATAAAAACGGGTATCCATATTCTGAAATCAACCAAAACAACAGTGTCCCAAAAACATTCCTTACGATATATTAGCTTGGCTTTGAAACACCCCACAGCCAAAATTTTAAATTCATTTCTTTCTTCATTTATTCTAGTCGTGAGACCCGTAACATATTGACCATCAGAGTCAGCAACACTACGCCAATCTTCAGGCAGTCGGTTGATACCACATTTGTAGAAATTAGGTAAGATTTTTGTCAAACAAATTTTGAAGTCGGATTTGCGGTCGTTTCGTCGTCGAGCTTTCTGTTCTCCAGGTAATGAGCAAGCGAGCAGGAAAGGTTGGAAGACGTGTATGGATAGGTTTGACGAATATGGCAGACGGGCAGCCGCGGTCCAGCCTGGCTTCAGAGTCTTGTGGCTTGAGACCGAACGACCCGCGCCGACGCGCGTTGTCGTGAAACAGATTGACTTGTCGTTGTATTCCGTGAAGCTTTTCTGCAATCGTTTCGAGCAGCAGTAGCAGTGAATAGCCTTTGTCATCGTCGATCTTGTAGACAGAACATCACCTATGGGAAACAAGAAATTCCTAAAGATTTGACAGCATCAACTTTTTCCGACCCCTCACCAGTGTCACCAAGCTCGTCGCGCTGTGGGGGCGGAAACGCTTTCTGGTTGCAAAAGAGGGGGTAGCCGTAACTCCTCGCCAGGAAGTAGGCTAAAGGGTGGCGGCCCGAGAGACGGCCCTTACATACGGCAGTGGGGGCTCTCCGCCAGGATAGGCTAGGCGGTGGGCAGTCTCTGGCCACTAGCACATTATGAAAGGTCCTAAAAATAATGTACCCTCAGTCCTGCGCAGCGGATCCCATGTACAGAGGGTGAAGCAGAGGGGGAGAAATCTCGCAGTCGACAATTATCTGTACGCCTATTTTGGTACCATCAATGTTCGAGCTTTAACATCGGATGCCAAGATTGACCACCTCATTGGCGAGCTCGACAAATGTAGCATCGACATCTGTTGTTTGCAGGAGACTAGAAGGCGCCTCGTGACGTGGGGGGCAGGGTCAACCCTATCGTTGTTACTTTTCGAAAAATTTTTACGACCCCCCTCCCCCAAGGTGGATTTGGTACGACCCCCCTTCCGACCCTCGACCACCATATTCCTCTCTATAACATTAACTTCCACTACCACTCAACCCTCAAAACTCCGCCCACTTTTTCCTCCAAAAATGCCGTCGAGCGGGGGGGGGGGGGGTATATAGTCCCTCTGAAACAGTAAAAATTTTCCCATAATTTCCCACAATTCCCTAAATTTTCAACCAATTTACCCTATTTCTACCTATAATCTCACTGTTTCCTTTTCTAGGGGGGGTATATACGCCGGCTGAAACGGCAAATTTTTATCTTGCGCGCCCTCTACTCGCACAACCTACTACCCACGAAATCTTAGTTTCTCCTCAATCCCACACGTGATTTCGAGCGACTAAAGTGGGTACGACCCCCCTCCTACAAACTCAACCAGGTACGACCCCCCCGTTGTTACTCGTAACAACGTAGGGTTGACCCTGTTGGGGGTCGGCACAAGGTGCATCTCGGTGCTGGAGCAAGCAATGGAAAAGTGGGCGGAGTGGGCTTTGTCATCAGCCCCCGCATGACGCCCAGAGTGGTATCATGTGAAATAAGATCAGAGAGGCTGGCACTTCTCCAAGTGCGGGTCGATGACCGAACGCTGATCCTCGTTGTGAACGCATACGCTCCCACCAGCGCCTACGATGACGCCGTTGTCGAGGACTTCTATGAACAAATTTCAGAAGCCATCCGCACAAAACCCCGTGGCGCCAGAGTTATCGTCGCCGGCGATTTCAATGGTGTCACCGGGTGCGGGCCGT